TAAAACTCAATACGTAAAACTCAATACGTAAAACTCAATACGTAAAACTCAATACGTAAAACTCAATACGTCTAGGTATAAGTATAGGTACGAGTATAAGTATAAACTCAGTATAAACTCAATACGTAGAACCCAATACACAAAACTCAATACGTCTAAGTACAAGTATATGTACAGGTAAACTATACTAAAACTCTATACATAAAACTCAATACGTAAAACTCAATACGTAAAACTCAATTGAGTTAATATTTTATACGCGAGTTTTTGGCAGACGAGGAGGTGATGGAGGTATCGATGGACATTGCCATCGACATCGCCATGGAGGTAGCCATGGAGGTAGCTATGGAGATTGAGAGCCCCCTATGGCTACCTCCGACACCCCCTCCTTCACCTTCTCCTATGGAGGACGTCGTCGTCATCGACGACGAGGACGGTGGCGACGACGACGCCGACATGGAGGATGTCGACGAGGACGACGACGACGTCGTCATCATTGAAGAAATACGCGTCGTAAACGACGACGTCGACGTGGACGACGAGGACGTCGTCGGTGAGACTCCCCTGATTGACCGGGTGCTCATGCACCACATGCAGGTGGGCGAAGTGGAGGATTTCTTCCTACTCCTCGGTCACCTGCATGAGAAGTGGCCATCGTCGGGGGAGAGTTGCCACTGCTACCACCGATGGTGAGTATAACATTTTTAATTAATTTAATCCTCGCACCCGATGATGACTTCATCGGCGGTGGTCTTTTGTAACGATATATCCCGAGGGGGAAGCGGGGGGGACGGCTTGGAGTCCCAGCGGCGCGATGAGGCGGGCGAGAGGCCAGCGGCGCGGCAGCGGCCCGGCTCCCCCTCCCACGTACCTTCCCCGTGCACCTCACCCCCCCTCATTGCTCCCGAGTTAGAACTCTCTTATATCATCTACTGCTGAGCGATGTTAAATCAGCATTGATTCAACATTGATCAATCATTTTTTCTAAGACTTTACTTAAACCTTAACTTTAACCAATAAAACTCACCTGTATGAATTAGGAGTCGCCATCATCCATATTGCTAACAATAAGGTTTTCTCGGGTGATATAGTATGTCTACCACATCCCTCAGACTGTTTTGATAATTGTGAATTTAATAGTTCTAATAAAAATCTAAATATTTGTCGACTGAGACTATAAAAAGAAATATTAAAATATATTTTTTCTGTATTTAAATTGTATGTATATTTAAATCTGTCCAATATTTTTCAACATTTATGCAAGATCAACTCATGAGTTGTATATATGCAAGTTTCATTATTTAGTTTATTATATATAATAAGAATTTATTATTAATATTATAGGAATCCCCACTGCCACTTATAGCCGTTAGGAGCGCTAGTGTACTTGGCTAGTGTAATTGACATATGTCAATTTGTGTCTATAAAACATAAAAAGATTAATATATTAATTTTGACATGCCGAGCATGTGTGTGGCATACGGATCCAAAAATAGGGGAGGGCATCGATTCCCAAAAGATGAGGGAATGAAAAAACCGTGGATTACAGCAATAAACCGTAAAGATTTCCGCCCGAGTGCAGAATCGCGTGTGTGTGCAGATTATTTTAGACTCGAGGATTATAATACCACTGGCTTTGATTCAGATGAGTTTGTACATCAAAGTTGTTGTTGTTTACATATGCTATATATGAATCTAGTAGATAGAAATAAGAATTAGAGACTGTTGATGGCCGTATGATTATTTCAATTTTAACCTCAATCCTTAATAAATGTTCTATAAGCAGTGTATTAAAGTTCACAGTAAATTATAAATAAATAACCGAAGTAAATAACTGTCTTGCTATAGATACATTGATCCTTTTTTTGTGACTTTTCATTAAAATCACACGATAGCTTGACAAGCTATCGACATTATATCGACATCACCTGTCTTTTCATAAGTTCGACCTTTTTTCCTCTCAAAGGCGCTCCCCTTCTCTTCAATTCTTCCTTTAATTGAGCTACTTTCAATTAACTATAATCCATATTATTTATCAAATATTAGAATCCTTTTTACGACCGTACCATTAATAAACAATAATTTGACAAGAATAAGGAAACTGCAATAACTAACAGTCTACTAAACCATCTTCGGTCAAAGCTAGATCACAATGCTTATTATAATGTGTGAATTTTATATACCACGTATGTAGTTACCAATCGCGTGCCGAAAATTTTTTCAATTACCGCAGTAATATCACTTTTTAGTTAAATTGCCCAAGCAAATCTAACAATTATTTGATGCTTATATAGCATCTTATTAGATCTTTAATAATATGTTGAAAGACATATATTAAAATTTAACAATGTAAATGTTAAAGTAATGATGAATCTAAAATCTGTGAAAAATAAGATTGCGAAGAATATACACGGGTTGGCGTTTCGTCCCGGTTTCCACTACTGGACTCATCAGTAAGGCATTGTAATGGAAACCTACCTTAGACGCCTGTTTTAGTTATTAAATCGAGATTCTATTGTTGTACCTCTCGGTGCAACATGATATTATTTTGGGATTCGATCCGCTCAAAGGGTTGGAACCCACGAGGAAAACGAGGAAAGTGGTCAAGGTCGTAGAACAAACACTCACTGCACCACACTTTTATTAAAATAACCCCTTTTATTTATTATAACAATTACAATTTCGAGTGGTTATTACCACTAGTTACATTTAACCCTTTATTTAATTAATATAATTACCCGATTAAAAGATTACACTTTGATTGTTACAATTCGAGTAGTTGATTATAATAGTTGAATTTAATTTAAAGAATATACTCGGGTTAAAGTCCTCGCTCGTGACTTAGACCGGTTGGCGATACTCGTTATCGCGGATGTAATATGACTCGGTTCTCGCGACGCGCGTAACGTATCGTTACGTTTAGATGTATGACAAGACTCTCTCGCCGGTCCTTAGATCGCCGAATATATAGGCGTCGCGGAGTCATCGAACTAGCGGCATTCGTGCCGTGTGCAACGCGGACTTCGTCCTCTTGCATTTCGGCAGTTCGTTGTCCTGTCGAAATGCAAGATTTGCTTTTTATTAATAATTGTTCGATGTGCGTGCGGTCATTGCTTGCGTTCGATCAGTGATCGTTGTCTGCACGCGTTATGGAATTTGCAGCCTTGCATTTCCGCAAGTCGTTGCTACGCCGAAATGCAAAGGTTGCTTTGCAGTAATAATCTTGCATTTCCGCCAGCTCGTTGCTAGGCTGAAATGCGAGACTTAATTGTGGTAGCACTCGCAGGCTACAACACTATATATACATCAAATAATTGTTAGATTTGCTTGGACAATTTAACTAAAAAGTGATATTACTGCGGTAGTTGTTTAGTGTTGCGTTGTAAGTCTGAAAAAATTTTCGGTACGCGATTGGTAACTACATACGTAGTATATAAAATTCACACATTATAATAAGCATCGTGATCTAGCTTTGACCGGAGATGGCTTAGTAGACTGTTAGTTATTGCAGTTTCCTTATTCTTGTCATATTATTTATTTTTTAATAATTTTAATGCACATCACTCCATTATAAGCGAAATACGCTTTCGCGATTATGTCCCCTAGTTCGGTGCTGCCCTCTATGCTGAGCTTGTCAAATGGGGATCCCCATATAAGTAAATAGATAAATGATTCGCTATTGCACTACAAATAACTTACCGAAAATGACTTTTAAAATCAATGTCAGTATATTGCCAAACTACATTTTCAATGTAATACTTACGTAAGATTAAACATGATAAATATATTGTGTGCTACACCTTTGTTGCAGAGTTACGCCGCTATAAGAAAATCACGGACACGTACGCCACGAAGTTTCCTGATTATACGCTTTTGGATTTGCAATTAGAACTTGATCAAACCGTCTTCCGAAGCCGCTCAACGTTTTGCGTGGAGATAAAACCAAAACAAGGATATTTACCAGAGGTAGAACAAGAATTTCCTCGATGTCCGTATTGCCTCAATCAGTATGCTAAGGTACTTTTTATTCTCAAATACAGCTATGAAAATTATACCAAAGTTTTATTTGAAATTCAAAAAACGCGAGGAAACCTCCGTCTTATGGTGATTGGTAGGGGAAAGATTCAATTTTTATCTGTTTAGAAATAATCATATAAGAATCTCAAAGTATCATTTGTACAGATTGTACAATCATCTAAAAATTTTATTTCGTGTCCAAATTATTCGTTGCTGTAGTTGAAGATTAATAATAAATAATGATATTGACTTTACAACAGAATTGACAAATGTTGTTTAATAGTACATTGTGTAACATGTGTGGTAAGTTGTCTATTACGCGACACGGGCGCGCGAGCGCACGAGCGAAGCTTCTTCTTCTTCTTTGGTTAATGGCACCCGCCTCCAAACAGTAAAATAGGAGGTCGATACGGCCAGATCACGTTTCAATAGACTTAAAATATAATAGTAACTAGTAATAGATAAATGCGAACTTGTGCGCCTTGCTGGAGTGAGTGTCTCCAAGCAAATAACCTCGCGACGGTGTGGCCTGGTAAAAGCGGAGCAGAGCTCCGCTAGGATGGGAGGGGGAGGCAAGAGAGGCAGGGAAGAGCGCCTGCGTAGGCCGCGAAGCGGCGCGAAAATGAAAAGCTTTAAAACTGTCTGCCACATGCTTTACTAAAACTTAGGATAAGTCTACAGAGTTTTACAGTAGGTTTAGCAATGGCGTGCGAAAATTTAATGAGATTATCATTAGAAGTCGCGACACGATCGACCAAGCGTCGCAAAAAGCGTGCCGCGTCCCTGGAGTATGGACATTCATATATTAAGTGAAGGATGTTTTGGGTCGCCGCAAGGACAAGAAGGGTTCTCGGTCAAATTTTTGCGGTGTAGGCTATGGTTGAGATTATAGTGGTCAGAGCGCAGACGGTTAATCATGACAATGGCGTCCCTAGAGATCTTTAAGCGGAAGTACCAGGGTTTGGCGGTTATTTTAAAAATGTGAGAGAAGAAATATGAGCCTTTAAAATCTGCCAGCGATACTAAGTATTGATAAAAATTTTCCGTGATTTTATGTTTAATGACCGCACAAATGTCGGAGTAAGGTACTTTGAAGTTGGGTTCAATACCCTTACGAATAACCCGCTTGGCGAGCTGGTCGGCCTTTTCGTTACCCGTGATGCCGCTGTGTGAGGGAACCCAGATGAACTGAATGTTCGTACCATTTAACTGAGCCTTTTCAAAAACAGATTTAATAAGCGGAATGAGGTAGTTATTCGTAGGGTTACGATGTCCGCTGAGAGACTGCAAGACACTCTTAGAGTCAGAGACGATGGTAACATTCTGAAGATTCATATCTATAGAAATAATGACCGCGTTGTATATTGCATAGGCTTCTGCCGAGAAGATCGACGTGTACGAGCTTATACATAAAGCTTATACATGAGTTCAGCCTGCAACTGTGGTGAGAAAACCGCCGCCCCCACATGCGTACTATGATCTGTTTTAGATCCATCAGTAAAAATAGTAGAATCATATATAAGGTGTTGAAATTCATGCTCAAAGAATGACTGAGCACTCGGGATAGAATTTGATTGATTGATGTCCACAGGCGGAAGAGAAAGCGAGGAATAGGAGATAGTAATAGAGGAGGAACGAAAGGAGGAGCGAAAGGAGGGAAGCGTGTAAGAGCGATCCACGAAAGAGTGGTAATAGTACCAGATGTGTAGAAACAGGTTCGCCGCAGGGAAGTGCTTGTGTAAGTAGTCCATCCTAGAGGTGGCCCTAGCAGTATCACAAAGTAGGTGAAGTTTATCCCTGGTGATATGCCTGTGCACAGAGGAAATTTTGGTGAAGTATCGAGAAGTGAGAAGGCGAAATCTAAAGGAAAGCGTGAGTTCTACTGTTTCAGCGTAAATGACGTTGAGAGGTGTGGAGATGCGGTATCCGAAACAGAGACGGAGGGCTTGATTTTGAATAACTTGGAGTGCCCGGGAACGAGGGTTGTGGTTCATTCCAAAAATTTGCGCAGCGTATTCTACAGAAGCACGAAGCATGAATCTATAAACGTTGAGGAGCAGGTGCGGGTGGGCTCCCCACCAAGTCCCCCTGAGAGCGCGGATGATTTGAAGTATACGTTTACCTTTATCGATCACCGCTGTCATATGTGCCTTGCCAGATAGCGTGGGGTCCAGCAGGACACCGAGGAAACGTACTTCGTTAGAAGGATAGATATGTTGGTCTTGGAACGTTAGATAAAGGTTCCTGTAATTAAGAGACCTACTAGTGGAAAAGATCATATATTGCGTTTTGTTTAAAGATATATCTAGACCCCGCTCACGCAAATATGCATCCAATTCCAGAAGGGACTGTTCGACAGAGTGAATAGCTGACATGATATCTTTGTGTGATGAGAAGATAACGATATCATCCGCAAATTGAAGGAGCTCTGTGTCGGGATGAAGAACGTCATTGATTTTCCTTAAGTAGAAATTAAAGAGTGAAGGACTAAGGACAGAGCCCTGAGGGGTGCCTTTAAAAGAGGTAAGAAGCGCGGAGATGATACCCTGGTTGATAAATTGCACCGTGCGTTCAGAAATGAGGTTATGAATGAAAGAAATCAGGAGAGGAGGGAAATCTAATTCAAGAAGGTCTTGAATAAGGATGTGTGGTAAGACATTATCGAAGGCAGACTTGATATCAACAAATACAGCTACCGTATTTTGCTTAGTTAGAAAGCCCGCGTGAATGGAGGCCACAAGTGCTGTAAGGTCGTCTTGGCAAGAGCGGAATTTCCGGAAACCAAATTGGTTATTCGGAAGTATATCTGACAGAGGAGATTCCACAAGCCAATAGAGGTAATTCAAGATCATCCTTTCCATAATTTTAAGTAGACAGGAGGTGAGCGAAATAGGCCGGACACCACTGTTGTTAGGCTTAGGAAGTAAATGGATTAAGGAGTGGGACCATTGAGAGGGGAAAGTGGAACAGCGATAGAGATTATTGAAGATTTTGAGCAGTGTGTGCATAAGTTCGACAGGGAGAGCCTTAACCAAACGATAGTCGATTCTGTCCAACCCCGGACTAGAGGAAGATTTAACCGATTGGAGAGCTGCAGACAATTCTTCAAGAGTAAAGAGATCATCCAACCATGCGTGGACGCCAGTGTAGGCTTCAGAAATAATAGGAGGCGAAGGGGGGGACAAAAGGAGGACAAAGTTTCGCAATAGCTTCCTGGATCATGACCGATCTGTCCTCATATCTGTTATGCGCCGGTGAGTTAGCCGGAATGAGGCGACGATTGCGAAAACGCTTGAGCATTCGCCAAATATGCGCGGTCGGAGTCTTCATATCTAGAGAGCCGCAGAACATCTTCCAACCAGAACGCTTAGCTTTTCTAAGAGTTTTACGAGTCTGAATAACAACAAAGCGGTAAAAAACATAATTATCCCTAGAGGGGTTATGTCTAAATACTTTCAAGGCTTCTCGACGTTGATCTACAGCCACCGAGCATTCCGGAGTCCACCATGGAGACGGAGGAGGGCCATTTTTGGTAAAGGCCGATCGGGAACTTTTAGACGAAGAGGGCGGCTTAGTAGGAGAGAAGTCTTCGTAGCTCCTAGATATTAACTCCATAAAGGTGTTATATTGCGTGACAGGATCATCAGGATCAATATCCATGATGTTTTGAGAAATGGAGTTGGCATTGTCAAGAAGATATCGCTGTACCTCCAACCATTGTTCATTGGATAAATTGATTTTATAAGCAAACACCGAAGCGGTACGGATCCCGCAATTGACCTGAACTTCAATAGGAAAATGGTCACTGCCCATTAAGTCGGAGGATACTTGAGTATCACATAAAGAAGATATGCGAGGAGAAGCGAAAGCGAGGTCTATGGTAGAGGAACTATGAGGAGAGAAGGAAACATGGGTGGGGGAGGAAGGAGGATTAAGCACAACTAAATGATGGTCATCAATAAAATTTGCGAGCATGCGACCAGCTGCATTGGCTCTAGCGCCCCCCCAAATCGGGTGATGCGCATTGAAATCTCCGAGAAGAATGAAGGATTCATACTTGTCAAGAACAGGAGAGAGCGAAGAAACAGAATTAGGAGGCGCAGGAGCATTAGGATGTCTATACGCACCAATCAAAAGCAAGCGTGAGCTGTTAAGAGAAAGCTCAATCCCAAGGGCCTCATAGGAGCCGTTAAAGGCATCAGATAGATCAACCAAAGAATAAAGGATAGGATTGCGAATTAGAACCAACATTCCCCTGACATCAGCCTGATTGGCATCGATGCGCAGGCAGTCATAGCCCATTACGCGAAAGTCACGTAGAGAGCTCACACATGTTTCCGCAAGAAAAAGTACGTCCACAGCTTCAGTCAACTTCTCAATGTCTCCCTTTTTCCCCAAGGCGCCGCGACAATTCCAGAAAGCAATTTTAACCGAGCGAAGAACGGGCATCGTTATTGGAGAAAGTTTGGAGGAAATCTATAATCCGTTGAAAATCTGGACCGAATAAGGAGTTAAGCAACCCACTGGGAATGAAATTCAAAATTTTTTGCAAGAAAGAGATAATTGCTTGTATAACGAATGAGAGTCCACCAGAATTAGCTTCCGGGGAGTGGTTAGAGGAAGAAATATTATTGGGTGAGGTATAGGAGGAATGTTCAAAAGGGGGGGAGGGGAAGTTATGAACAGGAGGAGAATGAGGAGGTAAAAAAGAGGAAGAGGGCATTCTACCATTGGGCGCGAAGAGAAAAGAATTATGGGTGTCGCGAAAAGGCATATTGTCCTTCACAACGTTATGGACAGAGGATTTATTTTTGTAGTTATGAGCGAGATTATGGTGGTTACGAGGAGCCGAAGTGCTCGCCTGCATAAAAGGTTCACGAGAAGGCGAGGGGTACGGCCGGCCGTTGGAGGGGGCCATTGAAGAAGAAGCTGTGGCATAAGATCTGCTCATATCAGGTCTAGAAGAAGAGAAAAGCGGTATCTCTGTCATCAAATCTTGG